ATTGGGGACACACATCTTTACACCCCCCCTTAGGGGACACCACTTTCTGAAGGGGTTAGAGAGATGCTGGTATGTGGAAAGTATTACTGGGAGTGCCAACATTATCAAAATCACTTGAGATTTTAGTTTAAAATAACTTTTGTCCAACCAGAATTAAACCTTCAGATTGGGGACAAATCATTTAAATGTCCTTTTTGGGGACTCCAGACATACACAAATACACAAACTGATTAAAGTGACTTTTGGGGACCACACTTTCCCATTGGGGACACGAGTCATTAAATGTCATTATCAGCAGGGGTGCAGTGGGAGGCGTGTGGTGTAGTGGGTTGTGCATTGGTGTTTGGATCAGGGGGTCACAGGTTCAAACCCCACTGCAGTCAGCATGTTGTTGTGTCCCTGAGACACTTCACCCCAAACTGCTCCTGTGGGGATTGTCCACAGTATTGAGTATGTAAGTCGCTTTGGATAAAACATGTGACATGTCATGTAATCAGCATGTATGCATTTTGTTAAGCTAATTTTAGTAAGGAGGACATGTAAAGTGGGTAAGAAATTCATCCTTTCACACTGTTCTCGAATAGATCATGACATGTCTAAATAAAACTGTGTAACTCTATCAAGCTAAACTGATACATCTCAAATACATGAGCATAAAGTAAAAACAAAATACAACTCAAATATATTAGCATAATGTAAAAACCACAGAGATTATTCAAAATATGGGCGTGGACCAAGCCCTTAATAAGTAGCTTGCCAAGCAAATCCAAAATGTAGAAAATACACACACAAAAAAAGGAAATGTAATTCAAATTAGCTACCCTAAACGAAACCTCAATCATAGCAAACTATCTACTTACTACTACTCTATATCTTTCTAACGCCCCTCCTTCCCCCACAATGAATATCGACCAATCACGTATTGACTTGATTTGCGGGACCAGCGTTGCAGTCGGGAAGAAATGCAATGTGGAGCAGCACCTCACCACATCATAAAGAGTTAGACCTTTCCTTCTGGCAGAATCAACACATCAGCCCCATTGAACAGCCTAGTCGTGCCAGCCTATACAACACATGAGGGGCAGAGTTTTACTGTGTGTGTGTTGCAACTTGCATATATATTTATTGCACTTGACACACACATACGCATGGCGTAATTTCCACTGAGGACATGTCCCACCTACTTTTCGAAATCCCGTTTGTGTCCCCCCACTTTACAAATATGTTTATTATCATTTTTAACGCAAGCCGTCATCGCCACGGAGCCTCTGTGAGCGAGACAGAGAGCAAGAGAGAGCACACCTTTATTTAATAGTTGTACAAAATAAAGTAAGAAATCATTTATTTCATTTTTATTTGTTCCGCTCATGGTACGCAAAACCCAATGTACAATAATTGCCAACAAAACATGTCTCAAACAAACACACCATTGAGCGAAAAGGAACAGGGAGAAGAAATACATCTTATATTACCTGCCCTTCTAAATAAAAAAAAGAAATTGAAATAGATGGTCTGTCCTTCATATTTATTTTTCACAGCCAAACATTACATTACATTTAGCTGACGATTTTATCCAAAGATACATAACAGTATCTTAGGATAATAAGAGAAACAACAACAAACATATTTCCCACTTGACGGTTAATGGAAAGAAACAAAACAAAAACGTTTAAAAGGGGAGTGATTAGTAAAATATGCATAAATAAAAAGAAAGAATGCTAACTAGGTAACACAAGATAAGAATAAACAAGTTTAAATGATTTGTTATTGGTTGTGATCATATTCTAAAGATGTTTGGATCATTGAAAAGTATACAGCTCCCTTTCATCTGAGTGTTGAGAGCTGTATCCATCAATTCCTTTTGTGCTCAAAGTGCAGCAGATTGATGCATTTCACTTCAACATTCAAAAACAAATCTTCCCGGGAGTGCATACCCCCGGATCCCCCTAGAGGGTGTGAGGTCCACCCCCAAATAAAGCAGGTTAAAATAATTAAATTAGGTTAAAGGTAAGCATATAATAATGTTAAAATGTGCTAAATATATACCAAAAAAAGGAGTAAAAGTAGCTATCGACTTGTTTTATTTTTTGAAAGTAGCCCTCATCCTAAAAAAGGTTGGAGACCCCTGATCTAAAGCGTTTCCTTCACAAGAGTCCCATACAATGATACAAATGAATTTCATACTTAATCTGACAGACATGAAACCAACAAAAACGTAAATGTGGATATAAAAACCTGTCAGTTTGTGTCATTCTTAGACTAATCATGTCCCTAGTCCCTATTCACAGTTTATTACATTCAACTTTTTTTTAATCATCTGAATACAAATTGGGGTCACAGTGACCAGAGGCATCTAAAGACAATGAAGCTCAAATATGAGCATAATATAAAAAACAACATACAGTTCAAAAATACATGATTATGAGTCCTGAGAACAGGCCTTTTTCATGCATTTTGTAAAGTCAGGGTTTTATTTTGGAGGAGAATTGTTCAATTTGTCTTTTTTCCTGTATATCACCAGATGTAAAATGTTACCATTGAATTACATGCTTGTCATTTCTTGGTTTCTGGGCCTGTTGTATAATGGGGCTCTGTCAGCCATTGGAATACATGTATGCAACTAATATGATGTAGGTGTGTTGGTACGGATGTGGAAGAGTGGTGTCAGCTGAGAAATGTGTGTGTGTGTGTGTGTGTGTGTGTGTGTGTGTGTGTGTGTGTGTGTGTGTGTGTGTGTGTGTGTGTGTGTGTGTGTGTCTGGATATACAATGTGTGTGTACAGAGACAACAATATACAGTAGATTTGGTTTACAGCAATTTGCAGTTTTCACCTCATATCTCTTTCTCCCTCATTCCCAAACTCATACACACTCGTACATATTAGACCTCCTTATACCTTGTATGTGTGTGAGAATGAGACAGGAGTAAGTGTGCTCTCATGGCATTTTGTTTTTCATTTGTGCTGTTTCATGTGTCTTGGAGGTAAACAGATGTATGATCTTGACCCAGCTTGACCTCGATGTTTTGAATTAGGTCAAGATCATACATATCTTTACCTCAAAGACACATGAAACAGCACAAATGAAAAACAAAATGCCATGAGAGCACACTTACTCCTGTTTCATTCTCACACATACAAGGTATAAGGAGGTTTAATATGCAGGGATGCAAACTCATCAGGTATGAAAAAGGTGACAAGGATCCGAGCCCTCGACCCCACGGAATATCGGTTTTAAAATTAGGAATAACATAGGATTTTAGCAGTCAGAACAACTAAAGCAGCAGTAATAATAACGCAAACGCCAAAGAGTCACATCTCATAGAAATATATAAAAGCATTTATTTTAATTGTGTAGCAGTCAGTTTATCATTTTGGCTGTTGAGCATTTTGAAAATCTATTGTCATGCCTCTGTGCAAGGCTTAGTCTTTCTATCTTTATGGCATCTGGTGTAAAGTAACTAAGTTCATCAACTAAAAAAGTACTACTTGGGTACAATTTTTAGATACTTGAACTTTACAAGTATTTCAATGTGTTGCTACTTTGTACTTCTACTCCTCTACAGTTCAGAGGTACATGGTGTACTTTTCCTCCACTACATGTATTTAATACCTTTAGTTACTTCACAGATGAATGATGTGAAATATAATCAAGTGTTGAATCAGACTTTAGTGCCACCTGGAGTAAATCCACCAGCTACCCTGCGGAATACAAAGCCATTCAAACTAGCTGCACCTTTACCAGCTTTGAGAACACTTTAATGATCAATCATTATAAAACATATCATATATATTATTCTGAAATGGACCAATCAAACAACGACTACTTTTACTGTGCTACTTTCACTATATTTTGATGAGAATACTTTTCTACTTTTACTTTAGGAACATTTTGAATGCAGGACTTTTACTGTAACAGAGTATTCCTACACTCTGGTACTTTTACTGTAACAGAGTATTCCTACACTCTGGTACTTCTACTTTTACTCAAGTACAAGATCTGAGTACTTCTACTTTTACAGTTACTATTAACAAACACACCCATAGGTAATGTAGCTGCTTAAGTTAGACCAGGGGTCGGCAACCCGCGGCCTCTGCTCTGGCCTCCTTGAGCTTAGACAAAAATAAGAAGGAAATAAAATAAAAGTATTTGTAGGACTATTTATATTTTGTTGCATGGTTGAAAATGTTTCGTATCTTGTATTTTGAGGTGATACTGTGACACATAAATAAAAAACAAAACGGTTTTAATTAGGTCAACTAAAATATGCGTCACATCCTGCTACGGTCCCGCGCGAGCGCCTTTTCTTGGAGGCGAATAACCTGACCCCCGGCTCCATGAGCGAACTATGGATAAATCAAAGAAAAGTACCGGAGGAACACAGGATTTAATTCTGTGTGGACAGAGTTATCTGCTTTCACAGCAAACGATGCTGGTTTACCGGTATGTTTGATATGTAGAGAGAAGTTGTCAACGGTGGTGCAGCCTTTACGTATCGAGGAACAACAAGGGAGAGGAAGACAGCTGACGATCTTCAGTCATAATTCAATGGGGTATGTCATGTATTTCAGAAAACACTTGTTATATTCCATGGAATGCTCTTAACATCCCGATAGCAATGAATATATTAAATGCTTTGACAATAAATACATCCAAAAATTAATCTCTGGAAGCCGTAGCGCTGTAAAAAGCACGACCAATCATCTGAGCCGGCTAAAGTAACTGGATGGCCTACCTGCCTGTCAGCCTTCCATCTGGGCACAAACTTATCTCGTGCCCTCATTGGTCATGTGCGCGTTCGTGTGTGTTGGAGGAGGGGCTCTGTGAGAAAGTCTGACGGAAGAGGCATATTTTTTCCGGTTGTGTATTTTCAAATTCTAGCGCACTCGAGCTGGTTTCTCCATTCTTACCTACCCTACCTTTAACTCTTTTTAGGGTGCAGCTATATGTTTTATTTATTTCAAAGTGGGCCCATTTTAATAATTAGTTTTTTTTCTTCCTTGGAAAGTGGCCAACTCCATTCTTGAGACCTCTCCTTCTCTTCTTCAGTTAAAGATGATCACTTGAGCCAGTGTAACTTTTGCAAGTGTTGCATAGTTGCTTGAAGAGGGACATAGTCTTCCTTATATGCTTCCACAATGTTTTTTTTAGCATATAGTCCTTGACAGTGAAAACAATGCACAAAGTCAATGGGACGTCTACATTTGCGTGGTCTGTAACAGGCCTGCAGCTCTCCAGCTCCCTCCCTCACAACATTGGCATTATGGGCAAAGTTCCCACGGCTTCTGATTATGCTCAACTGTTTTTGTCTTTCTTTTGAATTTTTTGGATGTTAGAATGCAATCGCAGCATCTGGTACCTTCCCATGTACAGCTTCCAGGTGTCGTGCAATTTTGGCTGTTGGATGGAAGCAATAGAGACAGTAATTCCTCTTGTTGTATACACGGCGAGATTCAGAGTTAGATGGGGGCAAAACTCGGATTGAGTCTTCATCGATTCTGCTTTTTTTGTTGTGTGTGTTTGAGTTTTTCTTTAGTGGACTGGGGGATGTAATCTTTCTTTTCCTTTGTGTGTCCCAGTTATTTTTCTTAGAAGAACAATTTGGTTTGGCTGGAGATAAAGGGGGATGTTGCAGAGATGGCAGGGGCTTTTTTGGAGTCAACGGTATGTCTTCTTCTAGCTCAGAAGAATCTTCTGCAGTGCTGTCCGGAACAAAGTCAGGATCACTGTAGTTAGTGAAAGACGAGTCAAGGGATGTTTCCATACATGAAGTAGCCTTGCAGAAAAAGAAAAAAATATGAAACAGATTTAGTTCAGCAGGGACCGATTCTGTGTCATAAAATACAGTAGGTCCTCCATTACTTAGTGCCATACACTGTGTCGATGTTTGGACTTGTATTACAGGTACTGTATCTCTTTTGGACGAGTGATATGGTATATAAGGCTACATTTATCTTAGTGTATTTAATTTAAAAACAGTAGAGATAAGTCAGGGAGAGTGGCATTGACCGGCAAACATTCAAGGTTACCAACACATCCAATTGGTTGGATCTGCAGATATGCAAGAAATCACGTTGCCTTAAAATACACCGGGTCAAGATGAAACAAATGGTGCAAAAGTAAGGGATTCCAGCACACATGATCTGAGACTAGTGCCAAAGCTTAATGAGCAGGGACAGCTAAATAGCACTTTACTTCAATACTAATTACGCAACAGCTGTAATTAAAGTTTAAAAGTCTCAAAATGCTACAACTACTGTCACAAACTGGATGAATGTGAAGTATTTTGTTAAAGGAGGATGAAAGCGTAATCAAGGAGCACTATTGGAGCGACTTTGATGGTTATTGGACTCAGGATTCATTCATTTGGATTCCCGCTGTATGAAGAAATGGATGGTGCAAGTGGAAACAATTCACAAAGGGATTAAACTGTTTAAAACACATGCTCAAAGTAAGCCGGATTTTGCCGATGTGTTTATGTGGATTCAAAAGTCGTAAATAATCTAAATGGAGGAGACCGATCTGATCGGAGCAGCTACAGTAGGACAAATAATCCAACTGAAACCGGCATGGACAATGACTATGTTTTAAAATGCGCTTATCCAGCAAAGCCTGGTTTGGACACTTTACGGGCAGAAGAAACATTTCTATTAAAGAAAGAATTATACATTTTTATGCCTTTAATAGCTACTAACTTGAATTTGTATTCAAATTAATTAATCAATTATCTGCGATCAGGTTGGGAACCACTGATCTACATGATTACAAGAGGATGGTCGCGGAGAGCAATTTCTGTCAGATGATCTGTTATACTCACAAGAGTATCCATGTCTGCCAATTGCTGAACCAGTTGTGCACGCTTTACCAAATTCATGGCATGTTCTCTTTGTTTAGCATGTTGTTCCTTCTCTGCAATTTGGTATCGATTGAAGCCTTCCTGAGGGTGTTGTTGCAAGTTGGTTGTTCGAGACTGTAATGAGAGCAATTCAATTAATAACTAATTAAAGCAAAGAACTTTTGAAAGCAACTTTAAATAACATTTCACAGCCACAAAATTAGCAATATTGTAATAGTAATTACATTATGTGCGACTGGAGTGCTGCTGTATTTGTTCATGTCATGATATGTGTTGAATCCAGGGGACTTCTAAAAGAAAAGAAAAAAACAAGATGTATAATAATAATAATAAATTACATTTTTTATTTAGAGCGCTTTTACAGGTGCTCAAAAGTGCTTTACGATTACATATTACACATATTAAGACATGTAAATGTCATTACTGTGGATATATCTATTATAGAAACATACATAACCTCTGTGTGTATATACAGTATATACACAGTCCAAGATATATACATTCTATCAATACAGCTCATATCTCATTGCAGAAAATATGCTAGGTGTGGGGGAAACTTCTGTTGCAAATGCAGGTGAGTCACCGACTCAAAAGGAGACACGAGGAGAGCTGGAGCTTTGATGGCAAACACTGATGGTTTATTACGAGCTTCGGCCGGAGAATTCACAAGGCATGTCACAGGGCCACGGTTTGACCACACGGTTGAGATGCCACCTTCAAATTTGAAGATTCCTCTCTCCTGCAAAACCCTTTAACAGGTTTGCTTGAGAGTAGGGATGGGTACCGAGAACCGGTACTAAATTGGACGGTATCGGTATACCGTTAAGCCGCTGGACAAACGGTGCTGCTATCGGTATATGTGTTACGTCTACTTCCTTAGTTTAACTTTAAACCATTCTGGTTGGTTGGGAACCCTCATCCCGTGTGATGTATCTGGTTTGAGACCCCTCTGATTGGCCACTGTAAATGCCACTCGTCATCTCTCTCAACAGCGCTCTTATTATTATTGAGACTCCCGTGCTAGTGCTAATAGTGCTAGCAGTAGCACGCTAACAACGTCCTCCTCAGTGCAACCTGATACGATTTGCGGGCCGTGTGTAAATGTGACCTGAGCGAAGGCTCGCAGGCAGGTTAGCTGCTGTGCACGGGTAATATGTTTTGTTTACCTGAGTGCAGTCTTGCAGGCACATCGCCTTGTCTTTTTTTAGTTTATTAACACTGACAGTGCATTAATGTGAGCTCCTACACCTATAATAATGTGGCCTTTCATTGAATGCTTTATAAACCAGTTAAACTTACAGAAGTTCATTGTGAATTGGAAAACTGCATTTAAATGTTGTTAAAGGTCAACGTTTCAATGTATGGTTCAGCAATTGTTGGTCGTTTTCTAGGAATTTACATATTTTAAGCTCAAATACTTTGTTCTATGTTTAAACCTTCAGACACATTTTGACGTTTTTCAGTTCAGTTCATTTATTTTGTGATGATTTTAAATTACAATCCAGAATAATATACGTACTCGCCTTTATCTTTTTGCCATCTTAGCCTTTTTACCAATTTCTTCATATCACAGTTTTGCATGATGTCACTGTAGGACAATATTTTAAGGATCTCTTGTCGAGCTAGGTTGTCAGTTTGAAATGTCTGGATGAAGATGTAACTGATTTACAAATGTTATTTTTTTTTTTACAAAATTCCTCTTTTCATCATCTGTCTGAGGGAAAAACCCCAAAAGCATGATAGGGCGAGCCAGGCCCCTTTAAGTTATTTTATTTATTTTTGTCTGCTTCTGAAAAGCTAATATATACCGGTATCGATAAAATCCTAACGATACCCATCCCTACCTGAGAGTAATCAACATTCCTTACTAGGTAGACTAAACAGCTGGGAACAACAACAAAATACTAGGACAGCCCCTCCTTATGGGAGATAACGTCAGAGGGCGAAAGGTAAACATCTATAGGAATTATTCCCTAGCACTATGTTTTTATTTTATTCAGTGTATGGGAATGTAGGTGGTCAAGAGAGAGAGAGAGAGACGGAGAAAGAAAGTGTACTGATCTGTTATTCATCTATCATAGATAAAAAATATCAATCTAAAACCAAACACTAGTTAACCCATATCCATAAACCCAGTAAATAACACACTGAGATCACTGCAGAGCAGTGCCCAAACTACACCATTTAATACAACTACATACCTTGTCCATGGCTAACATGATTAGGCCCAAATTGCGTCCTGCTGTTCCCCCCTTCTTTTTGAAAACCTTCATCTACTGAGACGAATGGCGATCTAGTTGAGACATGAAGGTAGGCAGCAGCGGATGGTGGTGATGCGGGTGAATTCTGCGTTTACCTGCAACACATTGTGATACAGGTTAAAATGTTTTGTTTAAAGCTGTTGCATCTATAATAATATCCATCAAGTATCATAGCAGAAAGGACAGGAGTTCATCTACTGGTGTAAACCAAACAAAGAATTTCAGTGCATCTTCTTTAAAGAGTCCTCTCCTGCTGATGTCCAGGTGTATATCAGTATGTAGTGTCTCTACTTTAAAGAGTCCTCTCCTGCAGATGTTCAGGTGTATATCAGTATGTAGTGTCTCTACTTTAAAGAGTCCTCTCCTGCTGATGTTCAGGTGTATATCAGTATGTAGTGTCTCTACTTTAAAGAGTCCTCTCCTGCTGATGTTCAGGTGTATATCAGTGTGTAGTGTCTCTACTTTAAAGAGTCCTCTCCTGCAGATGTTCAGGTGTATATCAGTATGTAGTGTCTCTACTTTAAAGAGTCCTCTCCTGCTGATGTTCAGGTGTATATCAGTGTGTAGTGTCTCTACTTTAAAGAGTCCTCTCCTGCAGATGTTCAGGTGTATATCAGTATGTAGTGTCTCTACTTTAAAGAGACCTCTGCTGCTGATGTTCAGGTTTATATCAGTATGTAGTGTCTCTACTTTAAAGAGTCCTCTCCTGCTGATGTTCAGGTGTATATCAGTATGTAGTGTCTCTACTTTAAAGAGTCCTCTCCTGCTGATGTTCAGGTGTATATCAGTATGTAGTGTCTCTACTTTAAAGAGTCCTCTCCTGCTGATGTTCAGGTGTATATCAGTATGTAGTGTCTCTACTTTAAAGAGTCCTCTCCTGCTGATGTTCAGGTGTATATCAGTATGTAGTGTCTCTACTTTAAAGAGTCCTCTCCTGCTGATGTTCAGGTGTATATCAGTATGTAGTGTCTCTACTTTAAAGAGTCCTCTCCTGCTGATGTTCAGGTGTATATCAGTATGTAGTGTCTCTACTTTAAAGCGTTATCTCATGCTGATGTTCAGGTGTATATCAGTATGCAGTGTCTCTACTTTAAAGAGTCCTCTCCTGCTGATGTTCAGGTGTATATCAGTATGTAGTGTCTCTACTTTAAAGAGTCCTCTCCTGCTGATGTTCAGGTGTATATCAGTATGTAGTGTCTCTACTTTAAAGAGTCCTCTCCTGCTGATGTTCAGGTGTATATCAGTATGTAGTGTCTCTACTTTAAAGAGTCCTCTCCTGCTGATGTTCAAGTGTATATCAGTATGTAGTGTCTCTACTTTAAAGAGTCCTCTCCTGCTGATGTCCAGGTGTATATCAGTATGTAGTGTCTCTACTTTAAAGAGTCCTCTCCTGCTGATGTTCAGGTGTATATCAGTATGTAGTGTCTCTACTTTAAAGAGTCCTCTCCTGCTGATGTTCAAGTGTATATCAGTATGTAGTGTATCTACTTTAAAGAGTCCTCTCCTGCTGATGTCCAGGTGTATATCAGTATGTAGTGTCTCTACTTTAAAGAGTCCTCTCCTGCTGATGTTCAGGTGTATATCAGTATGTAGTGTTTCTACTTTAAAGAGTCCTCTCCTGCTGATGTTCAAGTGTATATCAGTATGTAGTGTCTCTACTTTAAAGAGTCCTCTCCTGCTGATGTTCAGGTGTATATCAGTATGTAGTGTTTCTACTTTAAAGAGTCCTCTCCTGCTGATGTTCAGGTGTATATCAGTATGTAGTGTTTCTACTTTAAAGAGTCCTCTCCTGCTGATGTTCAGGTGTATATCAGTATGTAGTGTCTCTACTTTAAAGAGTCCTCTCCTGCTGATGTTCAGGTGTATATCATTATGTAGTGTCTCTACTTTAAAGAGTCCTCTCCTGCTGATGTTCAGGTGTATATCATTATGTAGTGTCTCTACTTTAAAGAGTCCTCTCCTGCTGATGTTCAGCAGGTGTATATCAGTATGTAGTGTCTCTACTTTAAAGAATCCTCTCCTGCTGATGTTCAGGTGTATATCAGTATGTAGTGTTTCTACTTTAAAGAGTCCTCTCCTGCTGATGTTCAGGTGTATATCAGTATGTAGTGTCTCTACTTTAAAGAATCCTCTCCTGCTGATGTTCAGGTGTATATCAGTATGTAGTGTTTCTACTTTAAAGAGTCCTCTCCTGCTGATGTTCAGGTGTATATCAGTATGTAGTGTTTCTACTTTAAAGAGTCCTCTCCTGCTGATGTTCAGGTGTATATCAGTATGTAGTGTCTCTACTGTGACATGTCTCCATGCTTAATGTTCAAAAAGCTCTCATTGGTTAGCTTGCAGGTTCTGTTGTAATTGGTCAACAGCTTAGATATGTCCCACCACTTAGCCAATCATGATAAATGTGTTGGAGCCTTAGACAATATAAGTGCACGATTCGCACGACAAAGTGAGGTCACTATGTCGCAGAAGCACATAAAACTTGCACTGTTTGCACAACAACTTTAACCGGCATTAGTAACTGCAGGCATAAATGCAAATATATTTAACAATCTGGACTCAAAAATTGATATATGTTCATTTAATTTATTTTCTGTTTTAACAGTTTCTTTGAATAATTACTACCTGTATATAATTGTAATGTAATCTTTAATTTTACTATCCGTACTGTCCTGTTTTTCATTCTCACTCTGTTGCTGCTTAAACTCCTGAATTTCCCCACGGGGATAATAAAATATGTATGTACAGCAGGGGTGCCCAACCTTTTTTGAACCGAGAGCTACTTTTAAAGTTGCCAGTCTGCCGAGATCTACCAGTCAAAATAGAGAGGCGTAGCTATTACTGACAGCCTACTGCCAGGTAAATACACACTTCTACTTGTATAAAACTGACCTTTGTACGATTAATACTCGATAAAATAATGCAGATCCTTTATCTTACCTCTTTCTAATCTACACACATACCAGTATTTAACTGAAGTTACACAACAGTGTTGTTGATACAGAGTTGGTGTTTATTCACACGTCACATACTACAGTGGGTAATGTTTTCAAGAAACATTGAACAGTTTTGCCACATATGACACAGGAGAAAAAGAAAAGACTCTGAACCCTTTCTTTGCCATTATATAAAAATAGTGTTGCTACAAAAGTATAAATTAGGCTTACTAATAAGACAACTCAGATCTAAAGTTACACAGGAATCTGCTGCCAAAGTGCAATAAAAAAGACAACATTAATCAAATCAAACCATTTTTTTGTTGCCTTTTAGTAGAGTATAAAAATAAATGCCTTTAAAATAGGATGCAAGCAACACTAGTTTCTTAACCTGAATTGATAATAGACTATAATCAATTTAAGTTTGCATTCTTATACCATTTTGTACAATAATTATAATGAATAAGTTCAAACAAACTAAAACTTACAGCTGATTAATAACGGTATCTAACTTGAGTTTTTATCAAAAACCTGTTGAAATGCTACTGTTATTTTTACTGTCCCCCAAAAGCGCATCGGCAGCCTCCAGGAATGCTTCTTTCACAACTTCGCCGTCTTTGAAAGACTTCATGTGTTTCGTGACTGACACGATAAGATGCTATGGTAGCAGCCTTGCTCTTGTTGTTGGGCCTGGTGAAAATGGACTGCTGTGCATTTAGCTGTGCTCTCAGGCCCCTCCCCTTTTGGGAGCGTAGGGCAGAATTAGGAGGGAATTCCGTCTCGCAGCGTTTGTGCACTGTTTTGAAATGCCGCTCCTAAATTACCCTTCTTCGATAAAGCTACGCTCGCATTGCAGATGAGACAGATGGACTTTGAATTGGAATAAATACAAAAATAATCATCCTCCCACTCGGAGTGAAAATTATATATGTTTTGCTTCTGCCATAATTGCTGTCTTGATTGTGTGCGGACTGTCACTCCTGTTGACACGGACAACGTTAGCGAATTAGTGCACTGCCCATTAGCCACGCCCCGACACATGGGGTCACGCCGGCCAATCACAAAGCTTTGATGCGTTCAAGTGCATTATTCTGGCACAGGAAGATTATTTTATAGGACATTAACGATAAAACTGAATATTGTTGTTCTATTTTTAGACACATCTCGCGATCGACTGGGAATCTCCCCGCGATCGACCGGTCGATCGCGATCGACTGGTTGGGCACCCCTGATGTACAGTATACAGTATGTAGTGTCTCTACTTTAAAGAGTCCTCTCCTGCTGATGTTCAGGTGTATATCAGTACGTAGTGTCTCTACTGTGACATGTCTCCATGCTTTAATGTACACTTACATACACCAAACTTTCCAGTTATATTCCTATCAATATTTTAAAGGCTTTTACAGAAGGGTTTTTTCATATATCATTCATAGCCTGAATTATATAACATTTTATACCTAAAAACAAAACAAAAACAAGAATTTTGAATCTGGCTTTATCCAATGTTCAGAAAAGTGTTCTTGAAATTTGTTAAAATATGCGCATATTTAATCATTTGTATATTTAAACAAACTATTTCAGAAAACTTGTAATACAAAAAACAATTGCCTTATTGCAAGTAATTAACTGGAGAAATGTCTAGCTGATATCTTTAAGTTAAAAAAAATACCCTATTCACCTGTAGTGTCTCGCCTTAACTGACAAATCCTACTCATTTAATCTTTGACTTATTTGGAGACGTGAAGGATACTTACTGTACTTTTGAGCCGCTGGCTTTCATCGATATATCTGGCCACTCCCCAACAACTTGGAAATCTGAAATTCAAAGTTGGAGAATTAGTCACACAATGAACTTCATGCCAAAAATAATTAATCCTGTATACTGTCATTACAAATCAAAATGTTTATATTGCACTGTTTTAACATGTATGACTTATCCTATTCCATGAATCACCCTATTATATCAATCCTACTTTAACATTTACTTTGTTTTTTGATCAAACACACACCTTTCAATAAGAAGGAAAACAATATGATATTTATAAATTCTAAGATTTCTTAAATTCAATTATCAAACACATTGATGTTAAAAGCACCTCATGTCCCAAAAGCCTGTATTCTTAACAGGAGTAAACGTATTAACACTTAAGGTAAAGTCTTGCATTCAGAGTTCAAGATACAAAGTTCTCCAAGTAAAATTGAATAGAAATTCAAATGTATAATCTATTTGACAAATAAGAGATCGCACACTTCCTGTGTTGTCATGGCAACGTGTGCAGATC